GGGGCGGGCGGCGCGCCCGCGAGAACGCACCTGGCCGGCGCCCGGGCAGGCCGATCAAGAGCTCGGGCACGCCGGCAGCAGATCGAGCCAGGCGCGCCAACTGAAGCGGATGGCGCGCCGAGGAGCGCAACACACCTAACCGGCGCGCGAACAAGTGGATCGGTGACGCGGGCCGCGTCCTGGGGTGGAAAGCACCTCGCCGCGGTCGCAGTCCGGGCAGGGCTTGTAGCGCGCCGCGTTGGCCCAGGAGCTGCATTGGCTGCGCCGTGGGCGCGGGTCAAGCATCCAGCTAGATCCCGCGCCCTCTTGACTGGTCCCCGGTGGGCCACGATGCCTCGCCGTGGCGCTTGTCTCCTTGGCCCTCCCCGCCGGCTGCCTGGGCCGGGCGGTCCTGCTGCTGCCGGACAGCCCCCTAAATCGATTTCCAGGTGACGGCAGTGGCAGAGAGTGCGGATGTCGTAGAGGGCCCCTGCCAGTTCTCCCAAGAAAACACGGCAGAAATCGTCAAATCCGCGGGCGTTGCGCCGCCCCTTGCCGGGGCACTTTCCACCGCTCTGGTCGCAGGCCGCGCTTCAGCCCACTGCGGAGAGGCCGCCGCGCGCACCCTTGAGGCGGTTAATGGTTCCAGGCCAGGTCTCGACTCTGCCGCCCCTTTCCCTCCATTGCGACGCCCGCTGAATGTCGCGCACAGGCGCCTTGTGCAATCGATCGTGTGGTCGCTCCACTCCCTTCGCCGCGGGGCCTCTCCCGCCGCTCCACGCGTCTCCAAGCCCGTCCCCCGTGCCAGTTTGCAATGGCTGCCCCTGTCCCAGAAGCTCCACTGCGCGCCGCGCGAGCCCTTGCTGGGCCCTCCGCCAGTCCATTCGGAATCCGCTCGGGTTGGACACTGGGACTTTCACCCTGCTGCTGCCCCCTGCGGTGCACCGCCTCCTGGATCGCTGGATTCGTCGGGCGGTCGTTCGGCAGTCATGTCACCTGCGGATCCGGCAAGGCCGTTGCCTCCAAGGGGTCGGCCACCTCTCGCGACCCATGCCAGGTGGGCGCCGCTCGCGCCGTCCCAGACCGTCAGCCACTGCGAACCAATTCAAACGCGCCGGTGGCCCCCTGGCCGCACCTTCTCAACCGGCCCCGCAACCGAATTGGGGAGGTCTGGCTGGAACCGCCTCCCCCCATCCCCCCATCGTTGGCCTGTGTGTGCCAGCGGGCGGCTGCGGTCAGAATTGTGCTCGTCCTCCGGGCTCGGGCCGTGATTCCCCGAATGCGCGCTGGGTGTGGACGGGGGCGGTGTGTCGGGCAAATCCGCGTCATCCCCGTTCCAGTCTGGAGTGGCGCTGCCGCTGCGCTTGGTTCCAATTCCTTCGGAGTCTGGGCTGGGATGAGCAACCTCCTCCACGTGCCTGGGTGCTGCTGCGACCTGGCCGCTGCTCTCCCAGAGCGGTAACTCTTGGAAATGGACCGTCCTGCCGTGCCTCAGCGCCTCAGCTGGCGCGCTAGGGGCGCCGAAAAACAAAAGGGCGCTGAAAACAAAAAGAGCACCAACAACCAAAGGGCCGCCAAAAGGGCGTTGGAAACCATGCGGGCGCCGAAAACCTACGGTGCCACGTAAGCAAAGAGGGCGCCGAATAACAAAAGGGCGCCAGAAAACAAAAGGGCGCCGCAAACCAACAGGTCGCCGAAACCAACAAGGGCGCCCAGAAAATCGAACGGCGATGAAAAAAGAAGCGCAGAAAACCAAACAAGGCTGCGAAAACCAGCGGGGCGTAGAAAATCAAAAGCACGCCGAAAACCAACGATGCGCCGGAAATCCATGGATTGACAAAAACCGAAGGGTCGCCGAAACCCGCAAGCACGTGGAAAACCAAAACGTGGCGCCAAAAACAAGGGCGCCGAAACCAAAGGGCGCCGAAAGCTAAAGAAGCGCCGAAAACCAAAAGGACGCCGAAAACACCAACGATGCGCCGACAACCGACAGGGCGCCGAAAACCACAGGTGCGCCGAAAACCAAACTGGTGCCGAAAATAAGATAATACGACAGAAAAGTCCCAATCAGTGGATTGTTTGAGAGTTCGTGTTCTGGATATTATAATCGACTTGAGATCGGTAGTGATATCGATCGTCGGATCGATAATGAGGACGATATTGAGATCGATCGTGAGACCGACAGTGATGCCGATTCAATGAAATCGATCGTGAAATCGATCGAGAGATCGCAAAACGATCTATAATGATATCGAATGCGATATCGATTGTGAGATCGATAGCGAGATCTATGGTGTGAGATCGATCGATAAAGAGATTGACGAAGAACTCAGGAAACCGGAAACCCAGGAACCCCGCCGCCCACCGAAATCAGCCTGGAACCAGCAAGCGGGAGCCCGGGAACCCGGAACTGGGAACGTGGGAACCCTGCGGCCCTCCGAAATCGGCCCCCTACTCTTGCCAATTCCTTCAAGATCCGCTAGGACCCCTTTCAGTGCAAGCAATGATTGGGGAACAACGCGCCGAAAACCAAAGGAGCGCCGACAAGCCCAAAACCAAAGAGGCGCCTAAAACCAAAGGAGCGCCGAAAAACAAAAAAGTGCGCAGAAAACCAAAGGACCGCAGAAAACCAGCGATTTGCCGAAAACCACAATGGCGCCGAAAACCAAAGGGGCGCCAAAAAAGAAGGGGCGCCAAAAAAGAATAAAAGCGCCAAAAACCAAGGGGTCCCGGAAACCAAAAGAACGCCGAAAACGAACAACGCGCCGAAATCCCAAGGATTGGCAAAAACCCCCCAAAAAGGGCACCGACAACCAAGGAGGTGCCGAAAACCAAATGGGCATCGAAGACCAGAAAGGGACGCCGAAGACCAAAAGGGCGCCGAAATCCAAACGAGCTCCCAAAACCAAAGGGGCACCGAAAATAAAAGGAGCTCCGAAGACCAACAGGGCGCCGAAAACTAGAAGGGCGCCGAAAACCAAAGGGGCGCCAAAAACCGCATGGGCGCCGAAAACTGCATGGGCGCCGAAAAACAAAGAGGCGCTGCCAAAAACCCACGACGCGCTGAAAACCAAAAGGGCGCCGAAAAACCAAAGCAGCGCCGATAACCTAAAGAGCGTCGAAAACCAAAGGGACGCCGAAGACCAAAAGGGCGCCGAAACTCAAAAGAGCTCCGAAAACCAAAGGGGCGCCGAAAACCAAAGGGGCGCCGAAAACAAAAAAGGAGCGCCGAAAACCGAAAGGGTGCCGAAAATTGAAGAGACGCCGAAAACCAATAGAACGCCGAAAACCCAGAGGGCGCCAAAAACCGAAGGAGCGCCGGAACCCAAGAGGGCGCCGAAAACCAACGATGCGCTGAAAACGTGAGGGTGCGCAGAAAACCCCAAAAAGGAGCGCCGAAAATCAAGCGAGCGCCGAAAATCACAGGAGCGCCGAAAACCAAAGGGGCGCCGAAAACCAAAGGGGCGCCGAGAACCAAAAGGGCTTCACAAACCAAAGGGCGCCGAAAACCAAAAGGGCGCCGAAAACCAAAGGGGCGCCGAGAATCAACAGGGCGCCGACATCCACAAAAACGCCGAAAACCAAAGGGGCTCCGAAAACCCAAAGAAAAGTAGCTTCGAAGTCCCCCCCTTCAACCATGGCCCTCCAGCTGGAAATGCCAACGGAAGGAGGGGAGGAGGGGGGAGCTTCGGAAGCCCAACCCCCTGCTATGGCTGAACAAGAGGGAGAGGGGGAGGGTAGCTTCCAGGCCCCCCCCTTATAGCCAGGGACCCCCCAGCTGCAAAATCCAAATGCAAGGAAGGGCGGGGGTAGCTTCGGACCCCCCCCGCGGCCTATGGAAAGGGGAACCCGGGCTGACCTCGGGCTCCGAAACGGGGAGAAAAGGAGGGTAGCTTCCAAGACCCCCCCCTTATCCAGGGCCCCCCTAACTAAACAAATCCCACAACAGGGGAGGAGGGGTGGGTACCTTCGGAAGCCCCCCCCTGTTTTCCAAGGGAGGGGGGGTAGCTTGAAGATGGGCCCCCCCTTTTGGTAAGGAGCGTTCCACGGGCGCGTTCTTTCGAAGGTGTGATCAGGAGGGTGAAAGGAGGGAGAACACAAGGGGGGGGGGGTGAATGGAGGAGGGAGCGAGAGCAGACGGAGGGAATGAAGAAAAGCTGCTGGGCGCCCTTACCTCGCAAGTGGCCTGGTCCAAGGTGGCCCCGGTTCTCCTTGGGAGACCCAGATGTCTGGAGGTGGGAAAGGGGTTTGGTACAAAGGGGAGTGGTGTTAATTTATCGCAGATATCATTCGGTCGGGCATGTCCTCCTACAGGGGGATTTTGAACGAAAAGTTAAACATACTCCAAAATACCCCCCAAATGCTCAGACACTGTCAACAACTCGTCCCCTGACTGTTTTCACTATTCTTGAATAGCCCTCCTGTAGAGGGGCACGCCGACTTACAGATAGCATCGCCATTTCCACGATTGGCACCATGCCCCTTGATGCCACACCTGGCCATCGCTCGGACGTCCAATCTCTGTGTTTTTTTCGGTGTCGTGCGTGTTTTTTTTTGGGGGGGCCAAATGATCAGGGATGCTCCTCGATGGTCCTCGCCGAAAGAAAAATGCACACGTCCGAGCGATGCCAAGACACCCCTTTCCGACCTCCAGAAGGTGGTCTCCAGTGTGCCCCTCGCGCGGCCCCACGGGCCCTGGCAGGCCCAACACGGCGCGACAGGCCAGGGGCTCCATAGAGGCCTACCAGCGGGGGTCGCAGCATCCTGCCGCATCGCCGGCTCCATGTGGAGCCCGACTTCTTCTCCACGCCGACGTCGCCGATGCATCGCAAACGTCGCCTCTGCATCGACGATGCATCGGCGATGCATCGCCGATGCATAGACGGTGCATCAGTGATGCGGCGCGATCCTTCGACCACATCTACTCGGACCCCATCTGGGAGGCCTAGACTCCCACGGCCAGGATCCCGTCTGGCAGAACTGCGTGTTCTCATGTCGAGTTCGATTTCAAACTTACTGACTTTCGCGAAATCGCTGAGGCACTTCGACGTGCACTGGCCGGCGTCGGACGACTGCATCCGCGGCATGGACTGCACCATGCGCGGGGTGCCAGGCTCGCTCCCGTCCTGGGCCGCCGCGGGCCCGAAGGCCCCTCCTGTCAGGGGGCTCGGGCGTTGCTTAATAGGGAGGGGGGCGAAAGATTTGGTGGGGGGAGAATCGTGCACCTTTCGTGCCCCTTGTGGGCCTGAGGCCTGAGGGCTCTTTTATAGCTCCGAGGGTGCACCTTTGTTTGCTCTTTCCTTTGAGAGAGCGCGCCCGCAGGGCCAGAGCAAACTGGGGGGGTCCCCCCTTAGCTACCTTCCCTCCCTTGGACCTCTCTTGCCCGAAGCCCTCCCCACCTTCCCCCCTTTTGGTCCGCCCCGCGGAAGCTACCCCCCCCTTCCTTCCCCCTTTCCGCCTCCGGAAGCTCCCCCCCCTCCCCCTTTTGCACAGGCGGGGGCACGCTGAGCCACCCGCCCTCCTTCCTTCGACTCCCCCCTGCCAAAAGCCTCCCCCCCCCCTGCCCTCTTTTTTTTGCCGTCCAGAAGCTACCCCCTCCCCTCGCCTCCTTTCGCCCTCCGGAAGCTCCCCCCCCCCCCTTCCTTCAACCCGCCCTGCCGGAAGATCCCCCCTTTCCCCTCCCCCTCCCGCACTTACCGAAAGGGAAGGGGGGGCTTAGCCCCCCCACCCCTCCCTTGGACCCCCACCTGCCGGAAGCCCCCCCCCTTGCCCCTTGTGTCCGGTCCGCGGGGGCGCCCCCCCATCCTCCGGAACCTCAACCGTCGCCCCAGGCTCCTCACTCTTGGACCCTAACGTTGACACACCCACAAAAAACTGCCACTACGACCCTCACCCACACACCCTATCCCAGACACATGACCATGTACACCACCTCACCCTCAACCCTCCTGATTGTACACCCGCCCGAACGCTCCCCCCCCCCCACACCGACGCCTGGAACCAAACTCCCTCGCCCAAAACGAGAGAACGAAATTATCCCCGCAAAGCAACCTAACAGCGATGTGTAGAAGCATATCTGAAAGCATTCCCCTTAAGATTCAGATGAAAATCCAGTTGTCGAATTCTGCTGTTCTCGCAGTCGTAGTCGCATTCGCGATGACAGTCGCAGCGGCAACGGCAGTCGCAGTCACAGCCTCAGCCTCAGCCTGCCTCAGCCTCAGCCTCAGCCTGCCTCAGCCTCAGCCTGCCTCAGCCTCAGCCTCAGCCTGCTTCAGCCTCAGCCTCAGTCTGCCTTCAGCCTCGGCCTCAGCCTCAGCCTGCCTCAGCCTCAGCCTGCATCAGCCTCAGCCTCAGCCTCAGCCTGCCTCAGCATCAGCCTGCCTCAGCCTCAGCCTGCCTCAGCCTCAGCCTCAGTCTGCTTCAGCCTCAGCCTCAGTCTGCCTTCAGCCTCGGCCTCAGCCTCAGCCTGCCTCAGCCTCAGCCTGCCTCGGCCGCAGCATCAGCCTGCCTCAGCATTCAAAATGTGGCCCAAGAATGGAGTTCTGGGAACTAGAAGAACACGAAGTGGCCTACAGTTGGCTCCGGGCATTCAAAATCATGCCCAGGAATGGAGTTCTGGGAACTCGAAGAGCACGAAGTGGCCTACAGTTGGCTCCGGGCATCCAAAATGTGGCCCGGGAATGGAGTTCTGGGAATCGAAGAGCACGAAGTGGCCTACAGTTGGCTCCGGGCATTCAAAATGTGGCCCGGGAATGGAGTTCTGGGAAGTCGAAGAGCACGAAGTGGCCTACAGTTGGCTCCGGGCATTCAAAATGTGGCCCGGGAATGGAGTTCTGGGAAGTCGAAGAGCACGAAGTGGCCTACAGTTGGCTCCAGGCATTCAGAATGTGGCCCGGGATTGGAGTTCTGGGAGGTCGAAGAGCACGAAGTGTGTGACTGTTTGCGAAAAGCGCATTCGGACACGAGTTCGGACACAGCTCCCTGGATGCCGCCCCGACCCCCCTGTGGAGCCATCTGCTGCTCTCTTTTGACCCCACTAGAAACCTATCAGCAACAGCTGTTAGGTAAAAACGAACCAGGGTCTGAGAAAACAAGACCACGACCCAGAGGCCGAGAAAACGAGAAAACGAACCAGGTTCCGAGAAAACGACACCACGACCCAGGGACCGAGAAAACGAGAAAACAAAGCAGGGCCCGAGAACACGAGCCCACGACCCAGGGGCCGAGAAAACGAGAAAACGAGGAAACAAATCACGGTCCGAGAAAACGAGACCACGAGCCAGGGGCCGAGACAACGAGAAAACGAGAAAACGAGACAGGGTCTGAGAAACCGACACCACGACCCAGGGGCCGAGACAACGAGAAAACGAAACAACGAACCAGGGTCCGAGAAACGAGACCACAACCCAGGGGCCGAGAAAACGAGAACACGATCCAGGACAGAGGAAACGAGACCACGACCCAGGAGCCGAGAAAACGAGACAACGAGAAAACGAGCTTACATCCCAAGTGCAAAGAAAACGAGAAAACGAAGCAATGTCCGAGAAACCGACCGTCACCAAACGAGAAAACGAACCAGGGTCCGAGAAAACGACACCACGACCCAGGAGCCAAGAAAAACAGATAACGAGAAAACGAACCAGGGTCCGAGAAAACGAGACCACGACCCAGGGGCCGAGAAAACGAGAGAACGAGAAAACGAACCAGGGTCTGAGAAAACAAGACCACGACCCAGAGGCCGAGAAAACGAGAAAACGAACCAGGGTCCGAGAAAACAACACCACGACCCAGGGGCCGAGACAACGAGAAAACGAACAAGGATCCGAGACACCCGGACCACGACCCAGGGGCCGAGAAAGGGAGAAATCAAGAAAACAAACCAGGGCTTGAGAAAGCGAGACCACGACCCAAGGAACGAGACAACGAGAAAACGGCACCATGACCCAAGGGCCGAGAAAACGAGGAAACAAGAAAACAAACCAGGGTCCGAGAAAACATGGCCACGAGCCAAGGGCCGAGACAACGAGAAACCGAGAAAACGGCACAGGGTCTGAGAAACCGACACCACGACCCGGGAGCCGAGAAAACGAGAGAACGAGACAAGGAGCCAGAATCCGAAAAAGGAGGCCACGACCCAGGGGCCGGTAACACGAGAAAACGAGGAAACAAACCAAGGCCCGAGAAAACGGTACCACTACCCAGGTGTCGAGACAACGAGAAACCGAGACCACGACCCAGGGGCCAAGAAACCGAGTCCACGACCCAGGGGCCGAGAAAGCAAGAAAACGAGAAAACAAACCAATGTCAGAGATAACGATACCACGACCCAGGAACAGAGAAAACGAGAAAACGAGAAAACAAGCCAGAGCCCTAGAAAACGAGACCACGACCCAAATGCAGAGAAAACGAGGAAACAAGAAAACAAACCAGGGTCCGAGAAAAAAAGAAAACGAACCAGTGGCCGAGAAAACGAGAAAACGAGAAAACAAACCAGGATCACAGAAAGCGAAACCACGACCCAGGGGCCGAGAAAACGGGAAAACAAGAAAACGAGAGAACGAACCAGAACCAGAGAAAACGAGACCACGACCCCGAGGCCAAATGAGAAAACGAGAAAACAAACCGGGGCCCGAGAAAACGAGACCACGACCCAGGGGCCGAGAAAACGAGAAAGCAAGAAAACGAACCAGGGTCAGAGGAAACAGTGCCACGACCCAAGGGCCGAGAAAACGAGAAGACGAGCAAACGAACCAGGGCCCCCAAAAAAAACAAGACCCAGGGGCCGAGAACAAAAGAAACTAATCCACAAACCAGGGTCCGCGAAACCGGGAGGGACCACGACCCAGGAGCCGAAAACGATACATCGAGAAAACTAACCAGGGCATGAGAAAATGAGATCACGACCCAGAGGCTGAGAAAACGAGATCACGACCAGAAGGCCGAGAAAACGAGACAACGAGAAAACGAACCAAAGTCAGAGAAACCGCGGCCACGAACCAGGAACCAAGAAAACGAAAACATTAACCATGGTCAAAGAAAACGAAATCACGACCCGGGGGCCGAGAAAGCAAGAAAACGAGAAAACAAACCAAGGTCAGAGAAAACGATATCACGACCCAGGAACAGAGAAAACGAGAAAACGAACCAGGGTCCGAGAAACCATCCACACGACCCAGGAGCCGAGAAAACGGGAAAACCAGAGAACGAGAAAACGAACCAGGGTCCAAGAAAACGAGACCACGACCCAGGGGCCGAGACAATGAGAAAACGATAAAACGGTAAAACGAAAAACGGTCTGAGAAAACATGCGAAGACGGTACCGCGATCCAGGGGCCGACAAAAACAGAAAACGAGAAGACGAAACAGGGTCCGAGAAAACGACGCCACGACCCAGGGGCAGAACACGAGAAAACGAGAAAAAGAACCAGGGTCCGAGAAACCGCGGCCACGACACAGGGGGCGACAAACGAGACAACGAGAAAACGAACCATGGTCTGAGACAACGATACCACGATCCAGAGGCCGAAACAACAAGAAAACGAGAGCGCGAACCAGGGCCCGAGAAAACGAAACCACGACCCAAGGGCAGAGAAAACGAGATGACGAAACAGGGCCCGACAGAACTGAGATGCCCAAGTATAGTTCTGGTGAGTTATGCTCAATCGTGCTAGGTTGAACGAAATTGTAGTTAAACCTAGATGATCTAAACTGAGCGAGGATGATCTAACCTAAACTTAGAATAACTAGAATAAGTTCTCAAGTTCGCACAACCAAGGAACTTAAGTTGAGTGAAGTTGGCAAGTTGAGTCTACTCTGGTGAATTTTGTTGAAGTTAACGGGGAAGTTGGGGGAAGTTGGGGGAAGCTCATACGCCCAACCTTCCTGTGGTGTTGGGTCGTCGTCTTGAAGAGACAACGCCCCGCGTCTCCTCCTTCCTTCCCCCTCCCCCTCTCCACCTTCCTCCCGCTGATGAGGGGCCGTGCAGCGGCATCGCGACTTGGGGAGGGCTCGGGATTAGCGCTCGCGCTTAATGTGTACACATACTGTTATCGATGCGCAAAGATATGTCCCCCGATGAGACCAGAGACTATGCGTTTCTGTGTGAGGCGAACTGGAGGCTAGGACCCTCGTGGGCTTCACCGGCAGTGCACTGAC